TGGAATCCAGTGCTATGACGCGCACTAAAAACGAGTATTATCAATTTAATGTCTTTTCTGGTTGCAACTATTGTAGTTAAAGGTGATTTCTAGGAAAGTAGTACGCCATTTATTTTCAGTGTGGCAGAAGTATAAAAAAGGTGTCCTAGTCGCTTATTGTTGTTCATTCATAACACGAATACTCATAAACGTCATTCCCACTCAATTTAGTAGGGCGTCTCGTTCCTTTTAATGTGCAGACGAGGCGACAAGTGCTAAGGGCGACAAGTGCTTACTTATGAATGAATGCATTAGTCTAGTACAGTATTTTTTAAAGTGTGCGGAGCCCTGGGGCTCCGCGTGGTGGCTCCGCGAAAAGAATAGTTATAATAAAAAAAAATACTAAAGGGTGGACCTGGTTTGAGGACTTTTTTTTTAGATTTCACTAAAAAAGGGCTCCGTCAAATATTTTGCTTTTGAAAAGGGTTCCCTCAAATATTTAGCTTTTGAAAAGGGTTCCGTCGCCAAAAAAGTACTGGTCTAGTAGATGATCGTCGCAAATAAGTAAGTATTGGTTTAGGGGGTGAAATTATATATTTAAAAATACAATTTTGATGGATTTATCATTTTTAATAGGTTTGCGGGGTCTTTTCTCCATAAATTAATACGTCTTGTCCAGTCTATTGCATTTTTTTTACAAATTTTAAATTGGTATATTTAGTGGCAGTAGAAGTAAATAAACCCAAGAATAGCAAACATTGGCGAGGATAGAAATACATTTGGATTCCGTATTATTTATAATAAGCGCAGGGGGACAATAAGAAAACCTTCAATTTAATTGACTTTATTACTTTGAGTTACTTATTAACAAAATAAAAAGCCCCCCTCCGGACGCCCATGTTGATATAAATTCAAAAAGTTTGGTCAATTTTGTTACATGGTTAAACAGATGAATACAATTGCAAAATGGCATTAAAACTTTCAATTGTACGAGCAAGATATAAGTATGTATCGATCATAACCATTGAGCTTCCTAATCGTTATGGTTTAACAAAAAAAAAAAAAAACAATAAACAGTGCTTTCTCAATACTTTCACGTTATACACCGGCTAGTATCTAATAAAATAATAGTACCAGTGCTAACAAATTTACCTACCTATATTTACCACAATTCAGTCGTCTCACGTTGTTACATCATCAAAGAAAATTAGTATAGTGCTACCATTTATAGTAAAAAGAAAAAATTGTAACGGATGGGTAACTACAACGTTAAATAACCTTGTGAAGTTGTGCAAATTGGGTAATATTGAGGATACAGGCTGAATCTATAAGATCTATATTTTTAGAAATTAGACATGCCAAAAAAATGATGCGTTATCTGGTCAAAAATTAAAATAATTAAAGCAATATTATAATATAATTTGGTAACATATTGCACAAGATGAATCGGCTGAAATGTAAGGTGGCCAGACGAAACCGTACCAGAGCCACATTATCAGGAACTGCGGGAACATTTTAGACAAATGTTCGGACCCGCCAATTTTTTATTAACAGGGGACCATCATACGTTCCCTTCCCAAACTAACCAATACAATTTAAATTAGGAAAATAACAAGTATGATACATCATAGAAGAGGAAATGTTATGGAGAATTCAGCGTCCTCTAGCGGGATAAACAATTGTTACATATTCCAAAGTGTGTTACTTCTTTTACAAGCTAATTTTATTAGTAATTAATTGCGTAGCATAAATTCGTTGTTTTGATTGATGTCAAAGTTTGTATGTCTTACCGTTAGAGCTTTGCAAGATACTCATGTTTCATTCAATTATGTTTTGTTACATCTAATGTAAATTAAATTATTAATAAAATTAGTTTTAAAATGAAGTGCCACACTTTACAATATGTAACAATTTTTAATATAGCTAGAGGGCGCTTAGATCAAAAGCAACGTAATGAATAGTCATACAGCTTAATTTTCCATAAAATTACCCTTTTAATAATAATAATAATACTCTCCCAAATTCACCCCCTTAGGAGTGAATTTTAACCCCAAAAGCTGAGCTTGTGCGGGGAAAGGGACGACTATTATTATTATTTGCCATGGCCGTGTCATACTTGGTACTTTCACTGTTTAAATTGTATTGGTTAGACTGGTTAGAGTGACGGAGAGGAGGGAAATGTCGTATGACAGTTAAGGGTATGAAAAAAAGATATCCCTCTTAATCAAATATTGAAGGGACCAAGCGGTTGTCTAAAATGTTAACGTAGTTCCTTATAATGGCTCTGGTACGTCTTCGTCTGGCCACTCTGTATCAATTGCGTTCAACTGAAAATTAAGTTATTTAACAATGCAATAATAATAATTATATAAATCAGTGGTATATAAATATCAGTACAAAGCCTAATAAAGACATTTTTAGATAGTTGCAACCTTTGACTTAACGCATTTAAAAATACTTAGTCACGATCAATTGCAGTTCTTACTCGTGGGGGCGAATACAATACGAGGACTATCTAAAAATTACTGGAAATGTTTCCATTTTAAAAATGTCGTCACTGAACAGTAATTCAAATTAATGTTGGTTTTGTCGGGATGTCAATGATCTTTTTGATATGTTTTTATGCAATTGATATTTTATACAAATTTGGACGATATATGCGAAGTATTAACCAAATATTAAAAAAATACTCCAACATTTTGATTTTTATTAAGTTTCATCATCACTTTCACACGTGTAACTTAATCCTTAAAGCTTTAAACAAACAAAAATTATAGTGAAAAGAGGTATTACGCGATAATATCAACTTTTAATTTTCTTGTCAACTCAATTTTGAATAATCAGCTTAGGTGTTTATAAATCGTTAGAATTATATTTATACAGGATGATCGATTAGTGTGAAAAAGTAAAATAGCTCCGGCATTATTAGTTAAATATTTAAAGAACAGTAGGCAGTATCTGTCTGTATCTGTAACGTGTGGAGGGTGGGTTAACCCACAGCACTTAGACCTCACTAGGCCCATTGTGCATCCTCTTAAGTAGATAAGCACCTCCTAGCTCGTGAGCCAGCCTACAGATTTAATGTAGTTGACAACGTCGCCAAGAGGTGCTTCTATTATATCAGCCAATTCTCGCTGGACACAATATTCTAATAAATGAGAACGTCGGGCAATCGTAAAGGATATGCTCCATGGTCACATCTTCTTGTTCGCAGCCCTGACGGCCCTATGATATTGAGATGCTTCAGTACTTGTTAATGACCACTCAGAATGCCTCTGTAATCAGGCGCAGATTTTGCCTGGTCATAGTCAAGTATTTGTTTGCTGTAATGTTGTCAGGATAACTTAAAAGCTCCCTGATAACTCTGCAGTTTCTTGTTTCATTCCCTTTCCTTGAATTTCACGGAATGTTCTTTTGGGCCTGTCACTACCGATATTGTCAGTTTAATAGCAGGGCCGGACCAAAAAGTATTTGGTTGGCTGTCTTCTTAGCTAGTGGCATGTCCTTTGATCCATCTTACGTTGACCACATTGTTGATGGATACTTCGGCCAAAGCTTCGTGACGTTCTAGTACTAACCCTGAATAAATTCGTGGTCTGTCCAGGGTGAGTTGTGCTTGTCTAATATCTGTATAGATGAGCATGTTCATTCTAGTGATATTATTTCTGGTGATTTCTTTTCCTACTATGAGAACTCCGTGAGCTCGGTTAGGCAGAATTAAACGCCACATTTTAAAAATATTTTTGAATATACAAGGTGTTCAATAATTTCACTCTGACATCTTACGTAAATTATTATTTTTATATCTCTAATAGCGCCAGAAATATTGAAATTTTTCACACTAATGGATACTTTAACAATTTCGTGTTTAGCAAATAAATTTTTTTACCATCCTATTAATAAGTATCTAATATTTCTCACGCTATTATATCATCATTAGAAATAAAAAAATTACGTCTTTCAAAAGATAAAATCATTTTTCTGAACAAGGATACTTATATTAAAAAGTTAATCACTTTTTTCTCGAAACTGCTCATCACATTATAAATTTTCTAAAACTTTGCTTCAAAGTAATTTTTTATCATCAATACCTGTGATAGGATTTAATTGAATAAAATTAAAATTAAAAAAACTATAGTTGGAGTATTTATTGATCACCCTTCGTATAATGGATAATTAACCGGATATGCTACACTTAGGTAATGGAATGTATTTATATTTGCCATGTAATAAACGTAGAAAGTCCTTGAAAAACGTACATGGAAGATTCTTAATAGATTGCATTACAGGCTTTTGATTCTTGGGAATATGACTTTAAGCAATAATCCATTGGCACAAGAATGAAGATAGATGCTTAACACGTGTTGATTTTTCCTTTTTTTTTTGTTTGTAATTTTTGATTTGTAGCTTCTTATAAACCTTAGCGATTGATCATGTCAAACCAGCTATACAAATCATAAATTTTGCAAAAAACAATGGTTAATGGTTACATCGTGTAGGCTGGCGGCAATATGTGTGAACTATAACATATTTTACTAACATAAAAATATATATTTCTATTGCAGGAGACAATAAACTAGTTTTTATAGACAAACTTAATAGTGTATGAATATGAGCGCCAAGAAATATATAATATCTATAATTTAATTAATATCAAGCTATATAACTATAATGCAATATAAATATAAAATATATATTCTTGATTTTGATTAGAATACATAATAATAACAATAGGTTTTCATGTCTGATCTTGATAAACAAAATAAAATAAATGACATTAAGTAATTATTACATTTCGTAATTTGGAAAAGAACGCAATATTGTTATTTTTGAAAGTTGGATCATTAGTAAGTACACCGTTATTTTATAGTTAATAATGTACTGCACCACGTAGATACAATTATAAAAAAAAGTTGTTTTTGAAGTTATTTGGAAAAAAAAACAGGAATTTTGGGTCCCAAACACTTGATTTTTAAAGTGCAAGGACGAAAAAATATACTCCAGTCTTTTTTATTTTTTAGGTTTTAGTGTGGGTGATGAATTGGGATTTAAAGAATCTCTAACTAATGTTGAATCAAGTAGGAGAAGATCTGCTCCACTTTCAAAAGCCCAAGTCCAATTAATCCAAGCTCAGCAAAATGCCAAAAAAATGGTAAGATTAGATTATTTTTAAAATTTTTTTAAGCAATGTGTGGATGATACTGCCATCCTAGCGGTAGGTAAAAATCATTAAGTGGCTGCAATAAAACTACAAATATCATTTAATCAAATAAATTACTGGATCAAAAGATGGTGTATTAACCTACACGAAACTAACAAATACCAACAAACCTAAATAATGCCCAGGTCCCTAGGTGTTACATTAGATGCAAGAACATGTTTCAAAAGAAAAGACAAGAACTAGATATAAAATACAAAAAAAAATGTATTGGGTACTTGGTATCATATCAATAACAAAATTCTTTGTATAAACTAGTCTTCAAACAAGAGATTCCAGAACAAAGTACTGAGGAACACTGTCGATGATTCTTGGTACATTATAAACAGCGACCTCCATCAAGATCTTCAGATGAACACTGTTGATCAGCCTATTAGAGATGTGTCAATCGTGAATGATTTAGGGTGAGATTACAGAACGTCTGCAACTTTGCAGATCTGCAAATATGGCGGCAACTTTGCAGATCTGCAAATATGGCGGCAACTTTGCAGATCTGCAAATATGGTGGACTTACAGATGCAAGTATCCAAAAAATATCTGCAAATTCGCAATATTTATTACCCCTAACAACACTAAATCCAAATCCACCCTTAAGAAGGTTAGAACATCCTACAACCATGAAGTCTTCTGTTTCTTTTGATTGAATAAAGTTCATGGTGTCAGATTATCGAGTTTTTAAACATAGTTATGGATTTGGGTTTAGTGTTGTTGGGGGTAATAAACCACAATATATATTGCGAATTTGCAGATCTTTTTTGGAAAACGAAAACTTGATACATGCATATGTAAGTCCGCCATATTTGCAGATCTGCAAAGTTACCGCCATATTTGCAGATCTGCAAAGTTGCAGACGTTCTGTAATCTCACCCTTAGCCACTAAGATCCAATCACCTAGAAATATTGAACGATCGAATTCCGGCCGGTCGGAATGATCGAATTACTTACATCCTTCTCACAGCACGGATACACGAACGAACGAAATATGTTGATTGTATCGTGAGTTGCAGGAATGATGGAATTAATGAATAAAATGGTGGGTTGTGGAAATTAAATGGGTTTTAAAATAAAATAAATTATTGACAGGACGTTAGATTGAATCGATTAATTATAACTGGCAATATTAATATTGACACATGAAAACAACCCACACAAATAATAAAATATGATGAATATTTTATCATTCATTCTAAAAATGTAACGAAAGTGCGTATTCGAATGACCAATCGTTCAACCAATCGAATCTTTCAATCAACGGCTATAGGTGACCCTGTTTACTGAGCTTATGGCAGTCTTGAACAGTTTACAGATTGAAAATCGGAATGATTGAACGATCGATTGAAAAGATTCGGTCATTTTAGAAATCAATTACCGATCGATTCGACCGCCGGGAAGTGATCACTACAGCCTATCACCAGATTAGCTAGGAATCATGAATAACGGATCGACCAACACGTAAATGTTGAGGCGATCCAGCTTTTTGACAACACCAACCTGACAAGAAGACTCAAGAGAGTGAAAACTTTTGAGTTAGTCAAGTGAATGCGTTAGTAACAAAGCAGAGCAATGTGCGGTTTAGTGTTACACGTTAGCTTATTACTATAATTAAGCTATCGGACCCTAAGGTATACCAGTGAGTGAAACATTAGTTTTTAAAATTGCAACCTTGCTTAGGTTACGTTAGAACAAAATTACAAAATATCAAACTGCGAAAAATTAAAAAATTTCGTAGAAGAATACAAAATATTTATACTAGAAACACAAATCATTAAAACATTGAACACTTTTAGACTTTTGAAATATTTTTACGCTGCTCTCAGTAAATATATTTTTGTTTTTATTCAGATGCAAAAAAGTTCAAAGTCACTTTCTCACATTGGCCAATGATCGAAGTTCAGTCAAAACTATGTTAATTAACCCAAACAATATACGATTGTACATTAAAAATAGATAAAATGCATTATGACAACGACCTTCTAAATATTCTAACCTAACAGGTCTTCTTTGATTTACAATATATTTATAATTTGTCTTGGTAGACGTTTGATGTCGATTTGCGAAACAGTTAATTTTTTAGAATAACGTTACAAGGTGCTCTTACAAAATGCATTTAAAAATTGTATTGTCAGAATAATTAGTATAATTAAAATTTTTATTTATGTGTTTTAAAACTTAGTAGAAGGTACTAGTGGTAAGGCAAGGTTAATCAGATTTTTTTAGAAAAATATGTATAAGTGTTTCTTTTATGTTAATCTTAATAATATTGCGTAATCAATGCAATCATACTTTCAAAATCAGTTAAGAACTTTAATAATATGATTCTACAAAGAAAACAAAACTAAAATGATTTTGTTTACTTATTAACCAACTTTGTTGGTGAATTTTTGAGAGAATGCAATGCCAATTGACTCAAGGTGCTATCATACCAACAAGCATTTGGTTATGACAAGTTAACGGCCTTTAAACGTATGTAATGGTCATTCTTTGGGTTCTGGCATTGGCAAGTCATCATTTTGTCATAACGAGCAGCAGTTGGTCGTCGTCGGTTTACCAGCACTAAGGCCGGGTCTACACTATACGTATTTCCGCTGAGTATTTTTTTCAAGACGAGAACACATTGTTTTAAATTGGAGCGTTCACATACATGCTCAGAATACGTCACCACGCATTATGCTGCCGGAAATACGCACGTCCACATGTATATGTCGAGCTCTATCTATCGGAAAGTTGATAGAAAACACAAGTATTCCTGAGCGAGGGTTCACACTGTATTGTGCAAGTCAGTGTATATTTGTAATTTTAATTTTTGCAGTGCCATTAAAGTTGTTTTTTTAAATTTGTGGAAAAGATCGACACAGACAAGTTTATTTAGCTAGCACACGGTCAACCACCATTATGGGACAATTGCTATAGCGCACGTAGAAGTTGGAAAGGCTTTTGCCAGTTCTCCCACTTTATACAGATAAATTGACAGGTTTTCGGCGGATCTAACCGAAGTGGACGCGATACATTGGCGTTCAAAATTATTTTATAGATGTTAATAACAATTTCGAGTAAATAGTTTAATAAATTGTGCATAGCTGTTGAAATTTTGTAAAATTATGATTTGAATATTATAATATATGTTTAATAATTATTTATAGTCCATAAGTACATGCGATTGTCCGGTTTCTCCGGTAAAAATTTAAAATTACTTATTCTATGAAACGACACTAGCAGGTAAACATTACTGCGAAATTCTCGAAGCCGTCCGGCGTGGTTTGACGTTTACCCCCTCTCTACCTACCAAAAGCCTTTCCAACTTCTACTTGTGCTATACTAAAACGTTAGATTTCAAAGGGCAAACAAATTTTACTTACTATTTCAACTGCTTGGCATAAACTGACGATCGTCAAAAATAGATACGCCCAAAATCTGCACAATGTGAACGCACAACACTCTTTCCGGTAATACGTATTTTACGCATGCCGAGAATACGCATAGTGTAAACCCGGCCTAAGTAGTACTCATAGTAGCAGTACCCTGCACATGGTCAACATTTTCCCACATAAAAATATTAACTCTTTTCAATGGGCTTATATAAGGCTATTATAGGAAATTATGCTGAGCCTTTGAAGGCAGTGCCCTTTAAATTTTCCTATCAAATCTACAATATTGCATTTAGGCCAGTAGCTATTATATTGTGGTAAACAATGTGTTTCCGACATGTCTTTAAGATGAGTGTAATGAGTATTTTACTCCTAATTTTGAGCATGTTGCTATTATTTAATGAACGTTTTATTAAAATAATATTAAACAAGTAAAATGCTGTAAAATGTGTAAGTAAAAATTTGCAAAACAATTGTGCTAGAATGTGATACGTGATGCACATGGGAAGGTTAGGTTGGATAATTTCATCGCTTTCCACTGCAACCCAGATGGATCTGTTGAGGCTCATTTCTATCCAATAGTTCACCGTAAAAGCCACACTTTTTGATGAAGGCCATGGTTGAATTGGACGAGGATTGTTTAAAGTCGGTGGGCTCCAGTTGGGTAAATCCAACCTAGTTTGTTCTTAAGGCAAAGCAGACACTGCGGATTCATCTTCCACACTATAGAATCAACAGTCCGAAGTCATGCGGTTACCTTGACGACAATTCCTGGATCTGAGCAGAGGCGTTCATGAAAGAGTTGGGTATAAAAGCTTTCGAATGAGTTACCCCTGGGGCATCTCTCCAGTTCATAAGTGTTTCATCTTGTGTTAATTTTGAAATAATTTCTTTTGCAGTGCCCTTTGCAAGGCGCGTCGGCTTGTTCTTTGCCCCCAGAACTCAGACCAAAGTAATTTTCTTCCGGGCACCGAGGCACTCAAGCGTGTTTATATAGTTTTAAACCAACTTTGAGTCAACTCTTTTGGATCTTAGGGCCCTGAGGGCTGCCTGACTATCCGAGAAGATCTTTATGGCGGTGAGAAAATAAATCAACTCTTTCGTTCTCAAATCTGTAGCGATTATATCTGCTTAGAAGATCGTGATGAGAGTGCCCAGGTTTCTCTGTATCTGTAGGGTGGGGGAGAGTGGGTTGCTCCAGATCAGTTAGGCCTAATTAGACCTATTGTGAATCCTCCAGGGGCATATAGGATCTGCCTCTCAAATCTCAAAAGCCTGCTGGTTGTCGCTGAGAGGTGTCTAGAGATAGCCAGCCTCCCAGCTTATCAAACTTTAGCAGGTAATCAACTCATCAAAAACCTAGTTGTCGCTGGAGAGTATGTAGTGTCTCTATATGCTCTCATTTTTGGAAGTGGTCATTTGGTGGGCTTCTATCACCTAGATGGTTAATGCTCGGCTGGAGGTATTCTGTCTGCCCACTTCACAGGGCACAGTGCCCAGGTTTATTAAGTCAACTCTTGGCTTTTGGCTGAAAACTTCCGCTCCTAATTCTTTTTCAGTTTTGGAGCCTAGTATGAAATTATACTACATAAATATAATAGAAAGATACGTGTAATAAATCTATAATTGTTATTAATTATAACTTACTTCCAATTTAGTTTTTTGTACCTTTTACACACATTTTGTATGAGGATTCTTTTAATTTTGAGGTTAGCGATATCGCTTTTCTTAAATTTGTGGGAAAAAAGCTTTCAGGCCAATCAATTATTAGAGTTATGAAACTAAATAACCAAATAACTAACAAAATTTGATAAAATAATAAAAACATGTAAGAAAACTGGGTTGTGTAAAATGTTGACCCAAGAATGTATATATTATTTGTGAGTAATTTCAAAAGGGCCATAATTATTTCACATTAGTTAAAAGGCCAACACTTTTTGTTGGGATCCTTCCAGAATAAACAAAACTTAATATTACTTATATTTATTTGACCTTGTGATTACCAAAAGTTTGTAATATCAGTGCGGAGTATTTTTAGTAAATTAGTTAAGATATTTCGAAGTATTTGCCAACGTTGCTTATTTTTGTTTTTAGAACCAGGGTGGTTCAGTAACACCATCTCCTAAAGGTCTCTCCATGGATTCAAGGATGGGTACAGTAGAAGTGGTTACACCATTATCAGCTGGTCAAATGATTGGTGTACAAAAATCAATGAAAAAATCTTCAAATTCAGTTCCTCCATTTAGACCAATTCCACCAGCTCAAGAAAGATATACCATTAGCAAATCGCCGCCTCGTGCTGTTTCTGGTAAGTTGTTGCAACGATAATTTTACATAAATTGGAAATAATTAATTTTTCCAGACGATTCAGGAGAATTAATGGCAATAATAGCAGTACCGAAAAAAGACATCCAAGCCCAAGATAAAAGCGGTAATGATAACTTTGGATACAGGGTTCTTCCATCTACAGCGAATAATGAAATAATACCCCAGTTGAATTCCATAATGTCTTTTCCTAATAATATTACCGAAGAAGATCTCGAAGCTTTAATCCAAAGACAACAAGCTATAGCTATGAAAAAGAGAACCACCACTACGACGACAACCACGACTACTACAACACCAAAATCTTCTAATAAGTACGCTAATAGTGTAGGAAAAGTAATGAATGCGCCTAAAGAGTACTATCCTGTTGGATACGATAAAAATTTTGACGATAATTTTGCTTCAAGAGTGGAATTGCCAGAAACTTCTTTTTATTGTGGAGATCAGAAGCATTTTCCTGGGTTGTATGCTGATGAGGATTTAGGTTGCATGGTGAGTTTTTTTTTTGTATCTCATCTTTAGCCATTAATTACTTCTACTTCACTGAGTGACAGGTAAACTTTTAACGATTTCACCATACTTTCATAAGAAATGTGGTCGATTTAATTAGAACATTTGGCGAAATGCAGTTATTAGGTCTTTAACTAATTGGATATTTTCTGGTGGTAGATTTATTTGAATAGTTTCGCGATACGATCAGCTTCTTCATTACCTGCAATCCCAATATGAGAGGGAACTTAAATAAGAGAAACGGAAGCTCCTACTGAAGCAAGAAATTTGTGATAATCGTGTATTTGTTAGACCAATAGATGTTGAGTACAAATATGTTTGAAGAGAGGGAGTGTACATATAGCGATGTATTTATTCTCTGCAGTTAACGATTTAAAAGCCTGGAATATCTCATAGAGTTCCTCAGTATGAATACTGCATGAAGAAGGATTTCTAAAATCCATCATTTAGTGTGACAGAACAACCTACACTGGATTGATCTTTAGATCCGTAAATATAATTATGTTATAAATTATTTCCTAAAGATTTTTTTTGGAGTGTTACTTTTATTGACTAAGCGAGGTATTAAGTTTAGGTAATTTTTTAAGCCAGGAAGGACTTTTATAAATGGGAAAATGCATGGTTCGAGTGAGATCAATATCACCGAGTAAGGATTTTAGAGCTTAAGGAATTGGAAGTAATACTGGGAAAGGTGTTAGTGACTAAATTTGTACTTAATTGTACTTCACTTTTTCTATGTTTTCGGAGCCATAGCAGCTCTGTATGGTAAATAATATATGTATATTTAAGACATTCAGACATCTTTAGGCATACATGTTTCATTTTGCAACGTTGAACGAAATACATTTTCTTAAAAGAATTAGATTTCTGAAGATGTAGTGTCATTGATTTACAATAACAGTTTTCAACAAATAATTTAACTTCTATTTTTTTACAAACTTTTCAATATCACTTAATTTAGAGAGCAACAGTACAATTTGTTCTAATATCAGACACCTTATACCAATATACTAAATAGAACTGTCAGTCATGAAATTTATAACTATCTACGATGCGGGCGTGGTATTTACAGCTATTACTTAATGATTATTATGTCTCTAGAGTTATAATGAATTTATCACGTGATAGAGAATTAGATCTAAATGTAGATGTAATAAAAAACGCTCTAGACTTTATTGGTCACGTGATAAAATGTCAAAGACAAGTTAGAAGTTTATACTTTTTAAATTTGACTTTTGAGACTGATTTGCAGCCTTTTGAAATCTAAACAAAAATTAAACAAACTAATCACTTTTATATTCATGGTAGCATAAACAAAGGATAAATTGACAAAACTTGGCTTCACAGAACACCTACTTTCTGGCATGGAACGAACATCTAATTTCAAATCAAGATATAAAAAATGTAATGAGTGAGCGCGCTCTGAGTATGTGACCTGTGGCAAGCCGAATACAAAGAGTATGCTTTGAGTGCCAAAACGACCACAAATGAGGCATACCTAGTGCACTCTGACTACAGCGAACGCCAGTCCGAACTCAGCCTTTGTTTAGATTTCAAATTTAGGTTGATTTCTAGTCTCAAAACTCAAATTTAAAAAAAGTTTAAACTTCTAATAAAGTATAGATCGTTTGTTTATTACATCTACATTCAGTTTTAATCCTCTATCACGTGATAAAAAATTCACAACATCTCAGATGCATCCGATGTGGATATTCAAACGCGGCATACATAGGTAGTTTTGCCTGGAACCTAAAGCCTAAATAAACACTACCTGCTGTAATTTTGTTATTTACTATTATCTCATAGAAAAGCAAAAAAAAAGTATAAACCTGTCTACCTAACAAAAAAAAAAATTAACACTACACATTATTACATTTTAAGATTATATAATGACAGTAGGAGTGAAAAAAAATTTGAAGTTATTCTGGATTGAAAATATAATGTCGAATTCTATCGAAAGATATCTCAAAATGTAAACCAATAAGATGGATTCATTTTAAGCAAGTAAATAGAAACATAAAATATTAATTTCGAACAGTGTTTGAATTTGGGACGGCCCGGCGATTTCTATTTGATTCAGAATGTCGTGCATAAAATTTTGCAGCACTCTAAAAAAATTCCATTTCACAAACTAAACGAACTATTTTTTAGCAGACCATTCTAGCTTTCTAAGATCAAATAAATAAGTATTAGTAGACAATTAATCAGACAAATCGAGTATTTATTTTATTTATGTCGAGTAATATTCATTACTTCAATTTTTAACAGATAATTTGAGCTAGACATGATAATCTAGTCAAATTTAGTAATAAAAATAGTACAGCTACATGACGACATTCAAATTACACAGTTGCATGTTACATTACACGATCGAATTTTATAATTATATCCTGAAAAGCGTTTGGTTCTAAGTAACTATTTTATTATTCTCCTTGTAGATTAAATTGAATAAAATCAATTAACATAAATTAGTATTCAACAGTATTGGAAGATCGACACTCACTAAAGAGAAACATAATTTATTTTTAAACATATGTCTTTTAACAAAATTTTAAAATGACAAACACTTTAAAGTCTTCAAGTTGTAAATATTCTCTGTATCGTCTTTGCAAGTTCAAAGGTGAATATCAGCATTGGTAATTGTTTGCTCAAGAGAAAGTAGGTGTAGGTATATAGAATTTTTTTCCAATAAAAGCATTGACCTTGAATTTTATTCATCATGTTGCATGTAATTAAATATATCTAATAGTAAATAAAAATTTATAAAAAGTAAGTAGATACCATAAAAATAAATTCTTTGTTTATTTTGAAATAAAGATTCACAAAGATTTTCTTCAGCTTGTGTAAATATGATAAAATATATTTTATTGACGATACATCTCTGTTCTACTTATTTTTATGACTCCTTTCGAATAGTATGATATAATTCGAGGTTATTTCATCAATTAACTTTGATTGTTAATAAATAAATTATAAATTATAATACAGTATTTTTACTTATATTGTTCTAGTGTCTAGCATAAAAGTAATCTTAAAAAAAACTATTATTGAAGTAAACATCGACGCTTATTTTCTAAATAATATCCAGGGAATTCTGTAATTGTTTTTATTTGTATGGAGTTTTTATTTCAAAATAATTTACTATACCAATAAAAAATAAAGCAAGTCTTGACAGGGCTAAAGTTGGAATTGTCAATTAGACCGTTGCGTTCTGGTGGTCTAATTGGTAAAGGCAACAAGTAGGTAGCACCGAGATTTGGGTTTGATCCCTGGCTTGGACACATTTTTTCTTTTTAGCTTTTTAAATATTTCTTTGGTTTGTTTTCATCTTGGGGTTATGGGAATGGATTCCTTAATTTACTAGAAGGAACTTGGGTTTTTATGTTTATATTTCCAAATTTGCTTCATAATGTTTTAACTTAATTTAATTTTAAAATAAACTAAGATCACTAAAAATATACTTTTTCTGTCAACAAGTCAATGGACAACATTTTGAGTATTTGATAACTTAAGTATCAGTTTACACTGATGTAATCCAATTAATAAACCAGACTGTTATGTTAATAATTTTAAATTTAATTCATTAAGTCAAAAACAAATAAAGCAACTTTAAAACTATTTACACCGTTGAATAGATAATTAAATACCCTTTCAAATGAGCTATCAGTCGATCTTTGTTGTCATTTAAAATTTTCGAGATAATCATTATGATGAATAAAAGGAAGCAAATGCTTATACTTTGGTAGCGTTCTTTTTTGTTTTTTTTTATTTCTGCATAAGTCCATTTCAACAATTTTAAGTAAAAGCATTTGCTTTTCGTTTATTCATTTGACCTAATATCTGTATCTGTAACTTGGTGGTTTGCCCCACGGCACGTAGGTCTCACTAAGCCCATTGTGAATCCTTCTAAAATTATAGGCCCCTCTTATCTCGTCAGCCAGCCTACAGGTTTAATGTAGGTGACAACGTCGCTAAGAGGTGCCTGTGTTATTTCGCCTGGTGTTAACCAAGACTCGTCGAACAGCCCCATGTTATAAAGATGCTTCCGTACTTGGCAATGACCAGTCAGAATTCCTGTAATCAGGCGCAGATTCTGTCTGCTCATAGTCAAGTCAAGTATTTCTGTGCTATGTTGTTGTCAGGATAACTTAAAAGCGTCCTGATAACTCTGCAACTTCTTGTTTCATCCCATCTTTCCTTGAATTCCACAAGGGAATGTTCTTTAATTAGGTTTGTCACGACAGATGATGTCAGTGCAATGAAAGGGCCAGGTCCAAAGAGTATTTCGTTGGCTGCCTTCTTGGCTAGTGAATCAACTAGACGATTACCTTTCGAAGTGGAGTGACCTCTGATGCATCTTAAGGTGACCACATTCTAGAACTAACACTGAATATGTTCGTGGTCTATCCAGGGTGAGTGCTGCTACTAGTGCTTCTCTGCTATCTGTATAGATGACCATGATCCTTCGTGTCATTTCTTTTGCTGCTATGAGAATCCCCATGAGCTCAGTTTAAACTACACTGACACTATTGCTCACAGCCCATTTTATGTTTAGGTTTAAAGATCTGGAGTATATTCCACATCCGGAGCCTTGTTTTATTTTAGAACCGTAGATGTAGATATGATTTTTTGTACCTGCCACTTCCAGCTCATTTGTTTAGTTATAACTTTATATGGCTTATGAAAAACATATTTCGGTGAGATGGAGTCCATGTTCGCTTCGAGCCTTGTAGTCAAAGCAACCTGGGGTCTCTTTATTATTCAGGGCTCTCTCTATCCGGCCAGCGACTAGCTAAAGGACTGAATCAGTAGTTCTACCTGGGGTGAATGCATGTTGATTTGACTGTGTTGTTGTTGTAATCACCATGTCTCTTATGTAACTTTCGCATAGCCTTTCCAATGTCTAAATGAAAAACGACGTCAGACTAATTGAATGGTATGTTTTTGGGACACTATAATCCATCCTTCCAGGTTTGAGTGTAAAGACAATTTTTACCACTCTCCATTTTTTAGAGATATACTTTATAGCCTACGAGAATCTGAATATACCTATTAGATGTGATGTGAGTTATTCAATTAAAGTAGGACTGGTTGATAGCGTCTGGTCCTGGTGATTTAAATGGAGAGGAGCTAGATATTCCTATCTAATTTTATCTTCTTCTACAATGTGTTTGGCAGTTTGCCAATCGTAGACAGATAGATTATGTTCCTCATTTGCCCAGTCGGCCACGTCTGTGATGACCGAGCCAGGAAAGTCTGTTGACAGTAGAAGTTTGATGCTATCTTTGAGGTTTGCCTGCGGGAAATTTTGGATTTTTTCGCTGCAGGCTCTCCATGCATCTCTGTTTTTGTCTAATAACTTTTTTGTATTCTCTGAGGTGAGATTTGTAAGTGTCCCAGTCCTCTTCAACTTTCGTGGGAGTAGCTAGTAGCTACCCTTTGCAATGGGTTGAAGTTATTGTACATTTGTTATTGCAGAAATGTGCTTCATCCAAAATGTGCTTCATCAGAAATAAAAATCGACTTGTCCGATCATTTTTACTAAATAGTTTACTAAATAGTTTTCTAAGAGCTTCAAAACAATCATAATATAATTTTATAACTATATCCTGAAAAGCATTTAGTTCAAAGAATCTATTTTTCTATTTTCCATGTAAATTAAAAGTATTTGATCAATTAATTAACATTGGAAAATCGATGCTTAATTTTAAAGAGAAAGATAATTTATTTTTAAATATATGTTTTTCAACAATTCACTTTAGAGTCAGGGATATAGGAGTTATTTTACTCAAAAATATAAAATGACCATTAATTTAGTAAATTTTTTAGGTATTCCACGTATGTGCTCTCACAGACGATGGTCTCATCATGAAGAGTTTCCTGTGTCCGGAATCAACATTATTTGACCAAACTATCCTTAAATGCAATTGGTGGTTTTACGTCGACTGCAAAAATTCCAAGAAGCTGTACGATTCCAACATCCCAATATCAAAGAGCTATCAGCTAATGAAAGCTTTAACGTTCTTCTCAGCTTACAAAAATGACAATAAAAATAGTTCAAAAACGAACGATAAAGACTGATAGGATAAATATAGATTTTAGTGTTAATAATTACCCCTGCAAGGAGATGTGATGTTCCCAAATATTTTTTTTTGTATACAGGGTTTAAAGTTACTGCTACTAGAGAGGGAGGGGTCACTAGATTCTGGTAATTGCATTCTTACATACATAACTTATTCAGTAACTTTTTGGATTTTACTTATTTATCGTTATGATCCTTCAGATAAAAAAGTATTTTAAAGGCGTAAAATAATCACATCTCTTTGAAAAAAAGCTCAATTTCCACAATCTAAGTCTTTTATAATAATTTATAATTATATTTTATCTTATTTAATAAGTAGGTGATACGTTTGGTGATTCCATAATATTTAATGTTTAACTTATTCCTATTTCTATTAGATAAATACATGTGGAATAATTATTATTTCCAAGAACTGTTGAATGTTTTGAATCCTTTATCACCCTCATTAAAATTATTCACTATTCCCTCAAATCAATCCCTTCCTTGGAATTTGTTATGTGTTATACTTTTATGTCATCCTAAGTTGTTCCAATTATCTACGAACATTTTTGAAAAATGAAAATCAAGAAATGATACATACTTTTCTTCAGTTCTTGGATTTTAATGATTTTGTTATTTTGTGAGGTATATTTAAATGTACAGTATTTCTTCTTTTCTCAGGGCAGACGTTAAGTTTGTTGCCATCTTTTTATTTCTTAAAACAAAATTAATTGATACGTTATAGGTATATTTGTGAAAGAAATTAAACGCATTCAAAAAATTGTTGATTGAACAGTTTTTATATTGTATATATACTGTTGATGTAGCTATTTTATTGTTCTGTTTTTCAGATTTATACAAGTGTTAAAATAAAAACAGAAAAATTTTTTCCATATTAATTTTTATTTATTTGCCTGTGAATCACATTAAGTCAAAATTAAAAAACCATTACACAAGCAGGGAATACAAGAATATAACGAGTGATCCACAAAAAAATGTTACAAAAGTAGGCTTTGGAAAAATTCACGTATGTCGAGCATACAATATTCCTCTTCTTTTTAAGTGTTAATTTGGATTTAATTCAGAGCCTCGTGTAGTTATTACGGATATGACTCGTATTTCTGTCATTGTCGTTCATGGTCTGAAACATTTTTTGTGGATCACGCTCTATATTGCGCGATAATTATTAATAAGTAGTTACCTACATATTATTTTATTTTTAAATTTAAGAAATTTTACCAGTATGATTTTTTATTTAATGTTCCAGTATATGGCTTAAACAGTACTAGTAACCCACGTGACTAAACTGATGTCATCAGTTGGCTAAAAGTAACATTAATAACTTCAGTAGTAACCCTTAAACAATGCCACTAACCTATTTGACAGAACTGACTTTTGATTTGTCAAAAAAGTTACTAAGAGCAGTCATTTTCATTAAATTTCTTGCTTTACCAGATCACGTGGGATACAGGTATTGTTGAAGACCAACAGTTATACAAAAAAAAATCGTAAATATTATTTTTATAATTCAAATAAATCACATTATTTAATATCTTCTTTAGTATTTAATGTAAGTTAGTTTTATCAAATTTATAAATCAGAAAAATACTATTTTAAATTTGAATGAAAAAACTTTTTGATGTAGATTTTACGGTAAACCATTTTATTGATTGAATTTAAAAGTTATTTCATGAAATCGCTCTAAGCGACATCTGTAGATATGAAGCAAAATACAAAATCATGAAATAGAAATCAATACCACTCGCTGAGATGCAGTTACCTTATTTATCAAATCTGTAATTAGCTGTGACCTGTAAAATACTAATTAAAAAAGAAAGAAGTTGCAGTAATCTATAGAAAACAGAAATCTGTAATTCGCAGTAACCTGTAAAGAGAAATCATTAATAAAACAAGAAGAAACCTTTAATATTATAGGTATTTGGATTATCATTATAGGTGACACTACCATTTCTAAAAAATGATGCTAAATTATTACGTTTAAACCTGTTATTCATGCAAGGAAGTTTTTTTATATATAATTTTTAAGATAATTAATTACCAGAACATTATTGATCATTTTCTCTTCTGACTTTAGTTAGAACACTTTAACTAAATTGATGTTTTATAATAGATAGTATACGGAAGCATTTCCCTTGTAATACCTAACCATTTAGTTTTTCTTCTTTAAGATGCTCGGTAAACTTTGGTGACGGTACTTTTACGAACTACCTGGCCTGTCTCTATCATGGTGAATCATTTCACCAATTTTCAGAACTTTTTTTCAACCATTGCTTTGCGCATGTTCTGATTACTGTCTGGTAGTTTCAGAGCCTTATAAGTTTTTTCTAGTACTGATACATTTATCATACTATTTGCCTTGTTTCTCTTCCACCGCGACCTCTTCGGATCTGTTGTGGAACTTCGCAATTTAGAGACATTTACCCAGACAGCACACCAAATCCTTTGGATATCTACTGGACATCCCAAATTAATTTTTTTAAGGTGTATTCAATATCCCATGGACATCCACTAAATATATTAAAGTCTAGGCGCGAACGCAAACCATGGTGGATATCCACTAGATGTAATTTTAGAGAGTCATTCTTGGACTGGTTTCGTCCTTATTAGGACTAGAATTATTTCCTTTTTTAAGAATAGCCCGCCTGTCTTTTATTCTACCCAGTCTCTGAACTAGGTACTACAGCGACCTTTGATTTTGCTTACTAAGTATAGATGGCGATACCACTTTCGCTCGTTGAATATCTACTCATGCTCAACCCGCCGTAATTGAGTTCCACCGAAATTGGTATTGTAATCAGACTCCATTAGAGACTGGAGTCGAGAATTTCTATTTATTGCAGAGAAGTCCTAATAAAAACGAAACCTGTCCAAGAATGTCACATTTGAGTATAGGATATATCCATTGGTTACTTATGAACCTCTACTAAAGATACCTATAACATATTTTGCTGAATATCCATAGAATATCTTCTATATCCTGGATATAGACGGGCATTTGGATATCCATATTAGATCCGCTGGATATCTATAAAATATCTTGGGGATATATTGGATATCCATAAAATATATTCTGTGGATATCTCTGGGATTTCTTGTATTGTCTGGGAGATATCCATTAGATGTTTTGCTGGATATCCATAGGATATCTTCTATATTCTGGATATAGACAGACATTTGGATATCCATATTAGATCCACGGGATATTTCTGATATCCTGTGGATATATTGGATATCCACAAAAGATATTCTGTGGATATCTCTGGGATTTGGTATGTTGTCTGGGTATCTAGCTAGCTTTGTTTTCATTAACGGACCTAATAGCTTTCTTTGGCAGTGGTGTCTACGTGTCTTCACAAAGATTTAATAATCTCAATACGAGTCGAAGGTTTTTTCTTGTGCCTGACTACAGTGTTAGCCAAGTCATATTTGACCAAAGGCTAACGTGAAATCAACATTTCTAAAAACTCGCATACAAAGCTACAATAGCTCTCGTAAGTTGTATAAGAATACAGGTATGCGGGAAAAACTGGGGCCTAAGCCCCAAAAAGACCATATGGTTAAACAAAAGGGTGATAAGACCTTTATGGCGTAGTGGCGTGGATAACCAAAACTGCCCAGGCAAGTGCAATAGGCCACCTTACCGGCATTAAATGGTTCGCATGTTTGTCTGAGTACCACAGGGGCCATGCACCAACTGTAACAATGGAGGTACTATTAAACCTCAGGCCACTTTACATCTTCATACAAGAAGAAACCACGTCCGTCATTCACAGGCTAATGCAGGGACAAAACCCAATAAGCCAACTACATAGCGTTGACCATACGAGTCTATACCAGCAAGTAAAAAAGGAGAAGATTCTACACATTCGAAAGACGTTTTTAAATTCAAGTACCAGCCCGAGAATCCTGGAAACAGGGACCTCCTATGCAGGCTGAACTCGTATGGGTTGCTATTCTTGAATTTGAGGAATAGAAAACCGGTTTTTCTTTTTATCGGCAAAGCACAAAATGTGTATTTTTGTCTCATTCTTTCCTCAAAATTTCTACTCCCTGAGGTCTAAGAATAGATTCCCTGGTATACAGACGGTTTAAAAACGAAGGAGAATATGTAATAGTGTGTCAGGCTGAACTAATAGCCATGCAACTCTGTACAGGAGAAATGATAAATGAGCAAGAATCCGGCAAAACTATTGCCATCTACTTTGATAGCCAATCAACTCTAAAGGCAATTCTCTTACCTGAAATCAAATCAGGATTGTGAAAGTCTACCTAGAAGACTTGACAAATCTAAGTAGTCCAAACAAAGTCTGGGAACCAGGCTACGAAGGATATCAGGTCAATGAACTAGCCTGAGAAGGCTCAGATCAGACTATGACATGCCCCAAACCCTTCTGTAGAGTTGCTAAGGCATTGTGCAAGGCATCCATCGAACAATGGACGCCAAAAGAGTCTCAGGAATGATGAAACAGCTATACAGGATTGAGAGAAACCAAAAAATTAATTAAGGAAGCGTCAGTGAATCAAAAACGAGAAATCGTTACCACTAGCTCTTCTTGCCGGACACTGTCGTCTAAGAAGGCGCTTCAGTGTCATCAATCCAGCAACATTGTGCAGGTTCTGTTAAGAAGAAGAGTAAACCTCAACCACGTTCTGTGCTAGATTGAGGTTTCTCTAACACAAGGTGAATAAAAGCCAGATGTTGTTAAAGCTACTAAGTCTAATAAAAAAAAACCAAGCTAGACAACATATTCTAAATAACGGAGTCTCACAATAGTTCTAAAAGTTGCAGTGGACAAGGATAAATAATGTCCAACTCCTTTCAAATCTAATTTACATGCTTTTGGATTTTCTTTACTAAGAGATAGGAATCATTCACAATGGAACAGGACATGGACTGATGCTTCTTCTGCTTCTTTTCCTGTGTCTGACTATACATTGTTAATTGTTAGTTGAAAGTGCCAACCTTGAAAAAGAAAATTGACGTATCTTTCCGATTTTTCATATTATTTACGAAAGGAAAATATTAAGGGCGATAAGTTTTCAAATGAACACCTTCTAAATACAATGAAAATAAAGTAAGAGAATTTGCAGTTCAGTAAATTATTGATTTATGTAAATTTCGCTAAAAATTATCTCAAAATAAAACAAAAATTACATCATGTAACGTTTATTCAAGTATAACTATTAGGTTCAACAACTAACTTCCCATCTTCTACAGCGACGCAAGGAAATTTAACGAGTGTAAGGAAAATCGCATATAATTTAGTACAAACTTGTCTTCGTTGCAGATCAACGTGATTTACAGCCAAACATAAACCTGCTATTGGAGGAGAGCAAATTGGGGCGACGCTTGGATCTATAAAATTGCTTATATAACTAAATTGTCC